ACCTGCATTGAAAGCTCTCTGGTTGGAGAGAGAATAAGAGCTAGCGGGTACACAGTTCGTGCTCCACGAAGTGGCCTTTGTGCACTCTGATCTTGCATTTTCATAATTCCACTAATAATAGGGAAACAGAAAGCAGCAGTTTTCCCAGAACCAGTCTGGGCACAGGCCATCAAGTCCCGGCCTGTAAGAGAGATTGGAATGGCATGCCGCTGCACGGGCGTGGGCTTCACATACTTGCACCTGCGGATGTTCAGATTCAACGCCTCACCCAAATCGATCTCCGCAAAGGTATTTACAGCTGGTGGCACATTCTCCCCACTTGTCTCAACTGGAATATCTTCATATGCATCAAAATTAATGCCAGTATTCTCTTGCTCACTAAATGGCTGCTCTGTTTTGTCATCGTCTCCAAAAGGATTTACTTCCCGCTCTCTCCCACGATCCCAGCCACCTCTGTTTCCCCACCCACCAGATCTCCCACCACTACCACCATACCCACCATACCCACCACGGAAATCATTTCTTGGAACACCCGAGCGCGATCCACCACCATACCCAGAATGATCATTACTCGAAGCAGGCCCACTATGAGCAGCAGCTGGTGAGTCTGAAGATGGTGCACGGTTACGGAGATGAGGAGGGACGTATGTGGATCGGGAAGGGGCAGCAGCAGAAGTAGTACCTACACTTCCAGTGTTAGCAGAATAACCAGCATTTATGTTCTCAGCTGCAGAATTTGCAGCCAAATCTGCCCATGAATTCTTCTTATTCATCACAATTCTTCACCAGAACGCAAAAACCCCAATACTTTCCTTTTGTATTCAACTTCAGTCAACACAATTCACCCTTTATGCAATTTTTCTTTTTTGATCTCACAAACTTCAATTTAAGCCCTGACAAAACCATAGAATCTATCATTTTCTCAATGTTCAAAGCATATGCTCATCACATACAACAAAACAACAACAGCAACGAGAAAACTACAACAAATCAAATAAAATCACCAAAACTCATTCAAAATTCCTTTTTTCTACACACGAAGAAACAAATTCAACCGCAAACTTCACCAAATTAAATTCCTCAAACTTACTTTTTTTTATACAACAATCCATCATAACAAACAATAAATCAATCAAAATCTCGATTTTCATCACATTTAAACCATAAGAAAATCTAATAGCTAAATATCAAACATAATCTGATAAAAAAACAAAAATATGGAAAAAGAAAAACCAATTCCCGAAACAAATAAACCTATCAAATCCTCAAAAACACAATCATCATCTTCCATGCAGACAATGCAAAAAATGAAAAAAAAAGGAAAAAAGGAAAGAACAGGCCCTAAAGAAATAAAAAACCTGATCTGCTTCATCAACAGCCAAATTTTAAAAGCAACAACTCTATTCCAAAAAGTCCAACCTTTCGAGCGAAAGAGAGAGCGAGGAAACGGAGAGGCGAGAGGGGAGAGAGATTTGAAGGAAAGGATGCGTTTGGAATGGAGAGGATCGAAGAGAGGAAGAAACCCTGATAATTAAATTAGATAAAAAAATGAACAAGAGAATAATATTTTTGGAAATACAAAAATATCTTTTGATGGGGGCTGTCTGTACACTCTCGCTTTACAAGTTAAGGTTTCCCTCTCTCTCTGTATTCTTGTAATCAGAGTTTTTTCTTTTTTTTTTCTTTTTGGAGTATCCCATCTCGTCTCCTGATTTTCATCGGGTTATTTGGGTGATGAATATTATTTTAAAACCTTCCCTAACCCGACACGTTAATTTAAAAGTATGTTTATTTTGTATTTATTTTTATATCTATGGTATAAAAAATATAATTAAATATTTGATAATATATCAAATTATGTTTTATATTATAAATTTATTAAAAAATTAAGTTTGAAATGTTATTTTTATATTTTTTTAAATATTTTTTTTTTCCTGTTATTTGATTTCGCCAACACATTGTTTATTTTTGCATTCTATGTAATTTTAAAAAATACTCTTGAAAAAAATATTAAATTAATGTTTTTTTAATATTTTTATATGATTTTAATATGCTAATATTAAAAAAAAAATTAAAGAAAACAATAATTTTCATACATTTTCAAATAAAAAATATTTTTAAATTGTACATAAATTTTAATTATAATTTTTATCAAACATATATATAAAACCAATTAGCTATACCTAACTATATTTTTTAAAATTTATTTTTTTTTAAACTATAATTATAAAAGTTACGTACTCTAAATTCTAATTTATTTAAGTTCAAGCTAAAAAATTATAAAAATAACAATAATTTAAATTATCAAATTAATAATTAGGATTGATTTGATTCACCTGTCATCAACCCTTAATTTAGAATAAAAAATATAAATTAGTAAAAATATTATTAAGATTTTAAATTTTAAAAAATAATTTAATTTAACTTTGTGCTTTACCAACTTTTATGGTATGTTATGTTATTTAGTGGATATTTAAAAGTATTATAGTTGTTATTTTTAAAGTATGTTTATTTAAAAATATATTAATTTTTTTAAAATTATTTTTGATATTAGCATATTAAAATAATATTAAAATATAAAAAAAATATTAATTTAAAAAAATAAAATTTTTTAATATTATTAAAACACAAAAACAAACAAGTAAAAGTATCTTTTTAATGTATTAAAAATACATTATTTTTTTATAGATTTTTTTTTATTTTTTATACAAATATATTAAAACTATTAAAAAATCTAAAATATATCATTCTATTTTTTAAAATATAAAAAATAATTAAAAAATACTTTAAAAATATATTACAATACAAAACAAATATTTAATTGAGTCAATTTTCAATTCGGATCCAATATCAAACTAAATCTAAACATAAATCGGTCAAGAGTGAGCAAAGTTACTAAATTGATATGCAAATATTGTCGAATCTTCCTTCTCTCTTTGTTTTTTTTTTTTTTTTCATTAACAAGAATTTAAGATTAAAAAAAAAGATTTATTAATCTCAATTCTAATTGATGCTAAGGAATTGGAAAAAATAATAATGGAGAAAAGATCGGGGGAGGACTTACAAATAGAAAAGGAAGACTTTATTACTATGGTTTTCCCTAAATTTGAGAACAAATGCCATTTATTTTTCAGAGTCGTGATCTATTACAATCCAACCATCATTCATGTTCATTATTTTGTTGGTTCATATAATTAAAACTTTCTCGAGTTATCTCAAAGAATGTTGATATTATAAAGATCTTAGTTACTTTTTTAAAATAAATAAAAAAAGATAAATATAATGTAAATATAAGACAATATTTGGTTATCATACAATTGGGACACATATTTACATATTTTTCTATTTTAAAAATATAAAAATTTACTCTTAAATTATTATTGAAACATATTTATTTATATCTTTATTCATATATTTTTAACCAAATAAATTTATATCTCTATAATTTTTATTTTTTAAACCAAATAAGTTTCTGTATCAATTATTTTTGTTTTTTATTTAAAAAAAATAATCAAACACTAACTATGTATAATAAAAGTAAAGAAAACAAAGTTATTTTGTACTTCTATTTCTATTTCTCCGGTCAAATACATTTTCTTATATATACACACTTGCCTATCTTCTTTTTATATAGGGAGAGACTAACAAGACTCAATTATAGAATAAATATTCTTAAATAAATAACATTTGTTTATAATTTAAGGATAAAGTTGTGTAATTGTAAAAATAAGGGACAATTATATAATAAATAAATCAATGGAGGACTCATTTGCGTATTCTCCAATTATAATCTAATCAAGCAAATAGGTAAAAGCCATAGGCATCTCTCCACCGCTCCCTTCTTCCCCACACTCTCTCTCTGGAATTATTTTTTCTGTTTTTCCCTAGAAAAAAAGAAAAATTCTAAGAGAAAATTGAAATCTAAGGTTACAATTTTTTTATATAAATTTGGGAGATTTAATCTCTGGGTCCCTAACTGGAAAGTAATTAGTGGTTAAACCTAAAAAGATTGATAAAAAATGAGCTTGGATTCGGTGGCTACAAACACACATGGAAACCTTGATGAGGAAATTAGTCAGCTCATGCAGTGCAAGCCCTTATCAGAACAAGAGGTAACCCTTTTTCTCCATAAAAAAGTTTCCATTTTTATGTTTTTTGAGTTGTTTTTCCTTTGATTTTTTTTTTGTGGGTTTTGGAGCTGTTTCTTGGATAAATGGTGCTGATCTCGTTGGTTTTTTGGGGGTTGAAATTGGGGGTTTTTCATAAAAATACATTTCGGTGTTTTTTTGGGAGATTTTTGGGCTATTTTAAGTGTTTGAGGTCAGTTCCGGAGAAATGGCGTGGATCTGGCCGGGTTTGTGAGGGTTAAAGTTGGGAATCTGCTGTTATTTTGGGTTCATGTGCGGTGTGATCTATGTTTTGAAGGGATCGTGGAGGGTTTAAGATAGATTTGGGGAGGTGATAGGAACAGATCTGTTAATTGGTTTTGGTTTTTGATTTTTTCCTATGATTTATTCAAGTTAAGGTTTCAAATTGGGGAAAAAAGTTTGGATTTTTGTTTGATGAGTTTTATTGATTGGAAGACTTCTTCATAGTTTGGAAGGTTAAGAGAACAGAAGTATGTTGCTCTTTGCTTATTGGATTATACTGCTTAAGCTGCCATAATTGAAATTTGGTTCTTTGTGGGGTATTCTAAATCGAAGTGGATACTTCGAACTTGTGCTTTCTAGATGTATTAATGAAGTTGGATTCTGGTGGGTGACATGGATCCATTATTTTGGTTTGAAGTGGATGCTAAGATTCTAGGAGTAAGTGTGCAATGTTAATGCTTGTTTTAGGAGGATTGCTTTCAAAACTGGGAACACCTAGATTATTCTTTGGGGATATTGTTTTCAATGGAAATGTTTTTTATGATTCAGGTAAGGGCATTATGCGAGAAAGCTAAGGAGATTTTGATGGATGAAAGCAATGTTCAGGTACTCTACTCTCTAATTTTTTTTCCTGTTACCAGAGCATAAGTTCTAGGATTTTTTATATGCCATTTTGATGTTTCAGTTCAGCATCCATCTTTTGCTATCTATTCCGCAATACAAGCTATGAGCTTTTATATGCCATTTTGATGTTTCAGTTCAGTATCCATCTTTTGCTATCTATTCCGCAATGCAAGCTATGAGCTTTTTAGGACTTTGGAATCCACTGAGTTGTAATTGACTTTCCTTTCTTTGGTTGTACATCTTGCAGCCTGTTAAAAGCCCTGTTACAATCTGTGGTGATATCCATGGTCAATTTCATGATCTAGCTGAGCTTTTTCGCATTGGCGGGAAGGTAAGTTTCTGATTGAGCAATTTTATGTTCTCATATTTGCAGACATGGCGATTCAAATTAATGCCAATTGTTATCTCCTTTCTGAGTTCTCTTCTTGTGGCCGTAATGGTCGCAATATTGCATTTGTTTTTAGTTAAGGAGATACACATGTAGTCACTTTACTGCACTTTCTTTCCTCCTTTTCTTTAGCTTCTATGGAGACCATTGCAATAGCAAGGGATCAACCCTTCCCTTTCTCTATCATCTGTTAGTTTTTCTAACACTTACTGGAAATGCAAGGATTTCTAGTTGAGGTTCCTTTGACTGCTATTTATCATCATACATGGTGTATATCTGACAATGCCAGTGATGCCACAACATTCCGAGTACATTACACATTTTACTATTTTTAATTTCTATTTCATTATCATGCCATCATCTAAGGTATTAAGCTTCCACCATTTATCTTGTGCTCACCTAGTTTGGTATTGTTCACTTGTGCATTTTTGTTTGCTGTAGTGTCCAGATACAAATTACTTGTTCATGGGAGATTATGTTGACCGTGGCTATTATTCAGTAGAAACCGTAACTGTAAGTACTTCCATCTTTCTATTTTTCCCCGTGCATTTCAACATCAATGTCTCCCTTCTCCTTTGATGTATCTATGCCATTATAATAGGTTGTATTTTTAGAGTTGTCTATGGAACTGTATGTCTGCCAAAGTCTTTCTGGTTTGAATTGGAAAAGCATATAAATTAAGCTGTGTTGAATGGAGCACTTCTAACATTCTCTTACCTATTCACAAATTTTGATAAACTTTGGCTTTAGTTTGGTTGAGGCTCTTAATTTTTTAGCTGCGATACTGATTGATTTTTTTTCATCAGCTCCTGGTTGCCTTGAAGGTGCGTTATCCTCAACGGATTACTATTCTAAGGGGAAATCATGAAAGTCGTCAGGTATGCTTCAGAATGTATTTTGCCAACTGATGCTATAATTTGTTTTATCCTAGGTTGAAGGTTCATTAATTGATTATATTTGCAACTTAATGCGGTATTGTTCTTGGCAGGGTGTAAACTTTTAAGACATCTAAACATTTTATGATTTCAATTCTTTCATACCCTAGCTTTTTCTCAGCATCAAATCAATTGGGCTGATTATGGATGCTTGTTCCCATTTCAGATTACTCAAGTTTATGGTTTCTATGATGAATGCCTGCGGAAGTGAGTTCTTCTGAATCCTTAGTCTAATGGAATTACATCCTAACTTTTAAGTTAGTTTGGAATCCTACAGTCTTTGGTTTGTAGTTCCCTCTTAATGTTTCTTGTGTACAGTATGCATAAACATAAATTTTACTTTCTTACAATTGTGACCTGGATATGATTTTATAAATGACACGGATAAGGAAACGGGGTTGCTTATAGAAGTGAAAAGCTATAACAAAAAAAAAGAGAAAGCAAGAGGTAAAAAAGCATTACAATGAAGTGTTTCTCAAAGCATGGGAAATCAAATTTAGGCTGAACAAGAGATGCTTGGATAGTGCAAACTGAAACTCTGGACATACTGTGTGTTTTTAATTTGGACGACTGTTGCATTGATTTGTAACATGTTTTATACGCATGAATATAAGTTGTTACAGAGAATTGGAATTCTCTGTGCAATTTCAACACTACTCTTTATATAAAAAAAGAATACTACTTTTTGATGAACCTGACAAAGTGCACTAGCCTGTAAATGAAAACTCTACCTTCAACCCCCACAGTCCTTGAAATTGAAAGGAAGTGGACTTGATGATAGTTATAGACTTTTTGGCTAGTTGGAAAACAGGCTTCCAAGAACCTTCTCCTCTCACATCTTCTAACTTTGTAAATCATGTTATTCAAATGGTTTTATACAATTTTTTTGGCACAAGTATGTACAGAAAAGATAAGTATCAATGGTGTTTTTTTTTTTTGCAGGTATGGCAATGCTAATGTTTGGAAGATCTTTACCGATCTGTTTGATTATTTTCCACTGACAGCATTGGTGAGTGCTGGTAAAAAAATATCAAATAACAAATATTTTTGCTACCAAGATAATTGAAGGAAAAAAAAATTGTACTTTTTGGATTTCAATAGATTTTACTTTTTAGTTAGGGCATTTAATGTGGATATGGTGTCATGTATGTATTTTGTTCTCTTTTGAAGGTTGAGTCAGAAATATTTTGCCTCCATGGTGGATTATCACCCTCCATTGAAACCCTTGATAACATTCGTAATTTTGATCGTGTTCAAGAAGTTCCCCATGAGGGTCCCATGTGTGATCTTTTGTGGTCTGACCCTGATGATCGCTGTGGTTGGGGCATCTCACCTAGGGGTGCTGGATATACCTTTGGTCAAGTAATATACTCACTCCACTCCCTTCTTGTCACCCGTGCTCTTAATTTTTAGCAGAACAGAGTTTTCTTCTTGGGATGCTTATGGATATTGTTTCTGTAGGACATATCTGAGCAATTTAACCATACAAACAACTTAAAGCTGATTGCTAGAGCTCACCAGCTGGTTATGGAAGGATACAACTGGGGCCATGTAACTACTTCCCTTTGATGCTTTTCTTTTGGTGAATTTCTTGCTCTGGTTTGCAAATTTCATCTGATTGATTGTGCTTTTTTTCTCGTGACAGGAACAAAAGGTGGTTACTATCTTTAGTGCACCCAACTATTGCTACCGCTGTGGTAACATGGCTTCTATTTTGGAAGTTGATGACTGCAAGGGTCACACATTCATTCAGGTTGGTGTCTGATGCTAGAGCACTCTATGGGTAATGTCACATAAGTTAGGCTCAAAATAATATCTTCAAAATATGTTTGCAGTTTGAGCCTGCTCCAAGGAGGGGTGAGCCAGATGTGACCCGGAGAACACCAGATTATTTCCTATGATTGAAGCTGGTCTTGAGATACTGAATCCTTCCAGCCAGTGCTTCCTGTCTGGTTCACTTATTGAGGGCATTTTTCAAATCTAGAGTATAAATTCACAATGATGGTGGGTGGGGGTGGGTGGCAGAAAGCATTTATAACGGGCAGGTGGAGCTTCCTTGATTCAATTGGTTTGCTGATTATGCTAGAGTTTCCATAAGAGGAAGCAGTGGAGCTGGTGACCAAATAGCCGCAAATATACCATTTCCAGCAAACAATGCGGCATCTTTTATTCCTTTGCCTTGATTCTGTTTTTGTTGTCTTATTCCTTTTTGTAGAAGGATGGTTGTTTCAGGGTTGGGTATGTGCAGAGAGACAATGAGTTGACTTATAATGGGTGCTTTTATATTTTTTCTAACCAAGTGTTCCGTAGGTGCCTTAACATATCTAGATAATTTTTTATTGCACATTGCATAGGAAAGCTGAACCTGAATTGAATTAAGCCCCCTCTTTAAGTTTCCCATGACAGTTCATTCCAAGCTTTGGTTGTGATTTTTCCGGGAAGCATGGATTTGTGTGGACTAAGCGGTTTTTCCCTATCATCTTCTCTATGATAGCTGCCTTGATCATGGATTGTCAAAATATTGATTTTGTCACCAGTGCGAAGTTCCGTGAAGTGTTGTCTCCCTCTAGAAATATTGAAGCAAAACAATTAGTTCACTCTGTCCCTGCCAGCTGGCTCACGCCCTTGAAAGGTTTTGTGGAGAGCTAAAATGGCTGTTCCTTGATATTTTGGATTGTAATTGATGGACAAGAGACTGGTGGTTTGTGTGAGTGGACGGTTTATGCCATTTATGGTGCGGATGGATGATTGCCAGTATTTGTTTGACAACGAAAGGCGGGCGGTTTGAAAGTGTTGAGGCAGCACCTCAAGGCAAATGGTATCTATAGATATTTGATTCAACATTTAACTTGGAATCTTTCGCAATGGGTATGGTAATTTTCAATGCCCAGTGAGCTTGGAATCTCTTGCAAAATCGTCAACCTTAAAGCGTTGTCTGTTTTTAGATAGTTCCAACAAGGGAAGTCGACTGTAATGAGGGCCAAAAACCTAAAGATACAATGCTATAGCATGTAATAAATGTTCTTCTTCTTTCTTCTTTAGAACCCAATTTTATTTGCGTACTAATGTTAATGAATTGAAATGCTTTCAGATCATATAATTATGATTATTTAATATATTTTTCCTTTCATCTGTGCGCTTAGGCTTAGTTTAAGGGAGAGAGCTCGAACCCAAAACAGGATATGGATGCCATAGCAGCATGTCTTCTCTGTTGTAAGCATACAGAGAACAGCATATCGCCTGATAAATGCCTCAAAGAAGCAAGACACTTGCAGTGCAAGCAATTTTTGAGCAAAGGTCATAGTTTTGAAAACTGAGAAATGTGTGTGCAATTTACTTTCCATGAAAATTTTAGTTCTATCAGAGAATTGAGAACCTGATATAAGCAATAATGAACCAATCTCACAAACATTCAAACTTCGACGATTTCCTCTATGATACACAAGCATAATCTTGTTTCACTATTCACTCCACTTCTCCACTGTTTGCTGTCATAACTCCCCCACCTTAGGGCTGTTGACAAAATCTTGATTTACTGAAGGATCAAGCTAGACATTGATTGAGCTTTTGTGTATGCCAGGGGCAATGTGAGAAGTTTCTTCGTTCTTCCAACATAAGCTCGTTTTGTGAAGTTATCATAATCATTATCCTCAATTGCATCCAAGATTTTTTGGTATACTAGTAGGGATGACCATACCTGCAACAAATCACAGACCAATGTGTCAGCATATGAAAAATCTCAAGGTACAATATAGGTTAGAGATGGAAGTGTTGCAAATTTATCATGCAAGTAATGGAAAGTTTTCAGTTCATACTGGCCACCGGCTAGCCTTTTCAAGCTTTGAAGCCCCTTCTTCTGCAAGGTTGAAATAGAATCTTGCCCTTGTTATCTGCTCCTTCATGAACTCTCTCCATCCATAAGTGACTTTTCTTGCGAAAACATCTTGGTCGCATAGCCCGAACTGTGCAAGCTCATCTTGTGGTAGATAAACTCTCCCTCTCAAAGCACTGAAAGAAAAAGGACAGAACTAAGTTAAAAGATTCAAACGAGAAAACTGAATGGAAGTTGTGTGGAAAAAAGAACTTACTCCTCTCCCACATCTCTAAGAATGTTTGTAAGCTGGTTTCCAATACCCAAGTACAGTGCCGCATTATAAATACTTTGAGCAGAAGCTTCAGATTCTGCTGCAATTCCCATAACTGGAACGCTCATGAGGCCAACTGTGCCCGCAACGTAATAGCAATAAAGATAGAGCTCTTGAAAATTATCATAACGGAATTTTCTCGTATCCATTCTCATACCTTCAATCATGTCCCTAAAAGGCTGTGAGATGATTAAAAAACTCTATCAGATTGAGAACATACACTATGCTAGGAATTAATCCATCTAGTAAATATTCCAAGCACCTTAATGTCCAAAGGGAACTTGGAAATTGTATCAGTAAGTGCAGCATCGAGCATGTCATAGGGGCGTCCATCAAAGATGTCTAGTAGCCTCTCTTCCCACCTATCAAGAACAGCAGTGCTCATTAGCACTGCATTAGGTCCATCGACCAGCTCATCTGTCCTCCTGCACCATACTGCAGAAAATATCTCAGTTGCAGTAGAACAACTTTCTTAATAGTTTACTACTTATGTAAATCTCTTTGCTTAATTCATCTCTAGTGTGACTGTTAGGATCAATTGAATTGCTTCTTCGATCTTCTGAACTGAATATCTGTTCAAGTAATTTCTTGGAGCTATAAATAATTTGGTAGTATTGTCTTTGAAGGACTAATTTATCTATTCTGGGCTTAAATCTCTTACCATAAATTGCCCATGTGGCTTTCTGTCGCTCCTCTGTCATCAGCCGAGTTCCTGCATCGAGAGACAGTGATCATCATTATTTTGCCACACAATTTGTGATGACATATATAGGCAAATTAAATGTTTTGATAAATCATTAAACAGGTTGGAAACCTGTGCTAATGGGATCTGGTAAGCAATCAAGCATGCACCGAAACGACGAGATAGTTCTCATATCATCTAGAAATCCTTGAATTATGACATCTAGAACTATACATGTAATGAACAATGTGGAAGGGATATGAATGTTACCTAGATAGAAAGTCTTGGCATATTCGGCGCAAATGTTTCTGCACCTTTCGTAGGCTTCTTCAAGAAACGCTGGATGGAACTCCGGCTTTCTACAGATATCTTGCTTGCTTAAGCTGTTAGCCTGAGACTGCCTCTCAACAATTTCATGTACTTGAAGATCAGTATGAGGAATTCCATGTTTTAATAGACGAGGAAAAGCACGTTGGCTTGATCTCTTAGGAGCTGCGATCACTTCAGCTCTTGCTCTTGTAACCAAGGATTTTGAGTGCAAGAACTTGCCATTATCTGGCCCAGTGCAAGGCCTAGCCGAAAGTGAAAATGAAGAACACATCCGGAAACGTTTAACGATTCTTCTCGGGTACGAAAAAGCTCTCTAGAAGAATGATAAAATGGCTTGAAAGGATCTAGAACTTCCTTCAAAACATCAGAAAACGTTACCTAATAACTTGATCATGATATTGCAATATCGAACAGCTAAAACATTTATACTCTCTAGCAATGAGCTGTCTCTCTACCTTAATTCCTCTCCTTCTCAGTCTCTTTATCAAAAGGAAATTGATGATAGCATCATGCAAATTGCCAACTAGCTAGTTTCAGCTGACTAGATTTTTCAAGCAAAAAATGGGGGATTATTGAAATGGCCTGCTCTTATCAAGGACAGCTAGCAGTTTGCTCTACAAAATCATGACAACTTGTAGTTTTTTTTTAAATTTTTCAGTAAAGACACGAGTCCCTAATGTGGTGTTTAGAGAATATTGGGTGTTACGAAGATGCTAGATTTTGTCCAATACCAATCTATCCAAAACATTGTTTGAGACTTTGCAACAAGAATCTAGATCACCTTGATGCCTCCCTACACCCTTCGATTCTATTTATGTCCTGAAGTGATTATGCAGGAAGTTTTACAGTATAGAAGTAAAATAAAACCCTCCCCCGTGAATGAACTTATCAAATGATAAGGTCATGTTGACGTCCTCTTCCAACTATGGAGGCCATGATGTGTCAGCTGGACTAGTTCTATGTAGTGCTTCCTTTGGAACATCTCAACATCAGGATTCGGTCCATCTACAAGGCTGAAAGCTCCTGTTTGTAGCTGCTTCTTGGCAGTTTGACTGTCCATTGGTGTGATGCATCCTATGTAAGTTGAGACTTGAGACCATCTTTGCATTGGCCCAACCGAACCAGCACAGTGAAGTGCTGAGAAAGTTCACTAAATCCATTGGGATCTAACCATACTTGCCAAAACTAGAAAGGAAATTTGATAGTTAAAAGTCAATGTGAAAGACAAGGTGTGATCTGGAAAAAAGAACATCTTGGAGACCGGAAAAAACAATGCCAAACGGCTTTGATTGGTTGTTCCAAAGTATTAATGAGCCAAAAGAAAAAAAAATTCATTGATTCCACCAATGATACTAAACTAGGAATTGCAGGTCTGCATATATGTGTCGTTTTCACCTCAGTTACTTAATTTTCTCTGATAATATAAATGGTTAGTGAAAGATAATTGGCTCCAAACCTAAAATAATATAAAACTAGTTGGATGATGATGGTATGAGGCAAGCTCACCTTTAACTTTCAAAAAAAAATATTAGAAGCAGAATTTAAATTTATTTGGGTTTTATCAAATTAAACCCCAATCTTACAAAGTTATTTTGGATTTATTCAACATGGTTCGAGTCTAGTTTTAAGTTAGACCGTACAGAACTTAAAATTATTTAATCATGTATATAACATAACTCAAGTTTATTTTTGAATTCTATAATTAATAATTTATATGTAATTTGTAAATAAAATAGATGTAAAATTAAGTGTTTTGATAAAATTATTATAACAATATATTTGGTAAAATTAGTAAATAATATAGTATTTTCTTTCAAATTCATCGATTATTTTATTAATAATATTAATTTTCATAAAGTATACTCTTATAAATTTTACTGAAAATAATAATATTTATAATACAAATCATAATATTTTTAATATTAATATTATTAAATATTATAAAAATATATTAAAAAAAAATATAATAATAATTGATGGAGATATAACCCTTGATACGAAATATAACCCTTCCTTGACACATACCGAATTAATGTTTGATAATGCAGTTTTCTGATAGAGTTCTGTCGCGTTTCAGCTCGTTCCATAAACCGGTACTGGATTTTTGTCCTATCAAGCACATGGTATGTTAGCTATTTTTTTCTTTAGAAATGTTAACAAACTCAATATACCATGAAAGCTTTACAAAAGCCTTAATAGTTCACACTACTTTTAGTCAAATTCCTTTTCAATTTCATTGATGTTATTGATATTTTATATCCGTAGCAAATTAAACTTTATGGTTATTTGAATTAACCTTCACTTCCCTTCAACTTTTGATTTTCAGCATTTCCCCATTTCCTCCATAACTTACATGAAAAATATTTAATGTTTTGATAAGACAGCAACCAGTCTTAGCTTCGAGGAATAACCAGCTTATTCCAGAATTTTTATTGGAGAAGGTCTGTAATCTTATTTCTTTTGAAACTTTTGATTTTCAGAATTTTCCAATTTCTTCCACTACTTCCATGAAAAATATTTAATGTTTTGATAATGCAGTTGCCTGAGTTAGCTTCGGGGAATAACCAGACTATTCCATGATTTCTAATGGAGAAGGTGTATGCTCTTATTCTTTTGAAAAACTTTTGATTTTCAGAATTTTCTAATTTTCACCACGACTTCCATGAAAAATATTTGATGTTTTGATGATGCATGCAGTTACCCGAGCTACGTTCGTGGAATGACCACTCTCTTCATGAATTAACAGCGAATACGATTTTAATGGAGAATTAGGTCCATACTTTATTTCTTTTGAGACTTTTGATTTTAAGAATTTTCCAATTCCCACCACTGCTTCCATGAAAAATATTTAATGCTTTGATAATGCAGTTACCTTACTTACCAGCTTCGTGGAACACACTACCATAAATTCGCTAAATAGCAACGGATTACCTGATGGAATATTTTTATCGATAGTGAAATTACCGACGACTAATATTCCATTTGTAATTCAGTCGGTAACTACCGACAGAAAATTTCCGTTAGTAGTTATCGACTGAATTATGAGCAGAAACGTTTCCGTCGTAAAAAAAAACAGGTCGCTGACGTGGAGGTTTTGACGGGTTATTTTTTCAAACGAAATTACTAACGGATTCAAAAGGACATCCCCGTATAGCGACCGCCGTTTATATTACCGACGGATTTGAAATGGCAGATCCGTACAGTGACGTGTCGATTGTTCTGTCAAAACCGTTGGGGAAAGTTAATATATGTACATGCTACTGACCCTCTCCTCCCCTATTTCTCCTTCTTTTTTCTAATCCCAACTCTCCTCATCTACAAATGTCGATGAAGAAGATGATATTCATATTGAAGATTGCGATGAAGGTGATGATAAGTCAATTGATGACAATGAAGAAGAAAATTATGACTAACTACCAAAATGAAGCCCTATGTAAAACCATTTTTTTCATGTAATTTAGATTATGGATGATATATTTTGAAACACAAAATATTTATTACTTGAAATAATTAGTTGAAATGCCACCATTACAAAATAATTACTTGAAATAATTATTGATCATGGATGATATATTTTGTAATATGAAATAATTACTTGAAATCCCACCACATCACCGATGTCAACACCGACGACCTTAAGTCCGTCGGCATTTCACAAAGAGTTCAAAAATAATTAGTTGAAATGCCACCACATCACTGACAGCAACACCGACGACATCAAGTTTGTTGGCATTTCACAGAGAGTTCGAAAATAATTAGTTGAAATGCCACCACATCACCGATGGCCTTAAGTCCGTTGGCATTTCACATAGAGTTAAAAAAATAATTACTTGAAATGCCACCACATCACTGACGGCAACACCGACAAATTTATATCCGTCAGCACGTTGGCGGCGAATCAATTTTACCGACAAACGTACTGACGGACAGCGCGCATTTCAAAGTGTTGTGCATTAAATGCATCTCTAACCACGTCATATTGCTGATGTATTTACCGACGGACCACGAAAAATATGGAGGGTCATTAAAAAATTTGGTGTGAAATTAAAAAATGTACCGACGAATTTTTAACACCTCACCGATGGAATAAATTAAAATAATAATTAATTTTGTATCAGTCGGTGAAGCCGTTGGTAAAACTGGCATATAAGTTCCACCGACCACCTCTTCAGTTCATTTTTTCTTCTCCTCAGTTTTTCACTATTCTTTTCCTCTTCGTGCTCCTCTGCGTTCTTCACCGGTGATCTGAAGCATTTTTTGTTGTAAATCTCTATTAGTTTAAAAGGTTAGTATTTCTTCTATTTCATTTTACTTTAATGGTTTTTTTTTTTGCTATGCCTTTTGTTTTGGTGTATTTTTTGTAATGTAGATAAATTCTATAGTTTTTTTTTTTTGCATAATTCATTGCTAAAGTTTATATTTTGTTTTTTGAATTTATTGAATATTTTTCTATTGTTGTATTGACATAATTATTATTAGTTAATTTGTTGAATATTTATTGTTAATGTTGAATTTACCATAGACTTTACTTTAATGGTTTTTTTTTAATTTATTGTTTTGTTGTATTGGTATAAATATTGAATAATTTGTGGAATTGTAATTTTTAATGTTGAATTTACCTTAGGATTAATAATTGAATATGTTGGAATAATTTATATAGATTGGATAAATTGGTTGTGGCTATTGTTAATATGTGCAAGTTTGTGGATTTGGGTAGTATCCAGTATAGGGGAGGTGCTGTCAAATTTTTTTTAACATTTGAATTTAATTATATAATTATTTGTATAAAATTATGTAAATGCGTAGAACGAAAACCAGAGCTGGTCGCTCACGTATGGTCGTAGCTAGTTCGTCTAGCAGTGATGATGATATTTCCTTAGGTGCCTCTCAATAAGAGGCACCTACACCACCTGCGCTATCAACCGATGCTGCCTCTTCTAGCACTACTTCACAGAGCAGAGGCGGCGTGCCTTTGCAGCGGAATCAATTTACCCGCAACTACGAGGCACAGTGGAATGATGACCTTTCAATGTAAGTTTGTTAAGGTTTTAGTTTTTTTTTTAAATTACAACATAATTTATGAAATAATCACTATTGAATTTATTTTATTTATTTTCAGGTTCACAAACATTGAAGCCGTCCTAGTAATATCATCAGCGTTTAAATCATCGATGGAGATTCCATTATTTCAATGGAGTCAGATATCCAAGCATCCTAAATAGATGTCTTAAATCAATGCATGGTTTAACAGGTTTGAGGTTGATATTAATTTATAATTTTTAGATTATTAATATAATTGTAAATAAATTATTATTTTTATTTAAACTTGTTTATTTATACACAGTACAAATTCTGCTGGGACAGTGAGCATAACACTATTGTGAGAAGGGTGTGGGAAAATCACGCAGTAACTAGGTAAGATCGAAAACAATACAAGATTTTTTTTAGACAAAAATTTATGTTTCGAAATGTAATTTTAGGTTGCGTGAAGTAGGTTGCGTGATTTTTGGTATGAAGCACAAAAAAAGACAAAAAAAACCCACAAAGGATAGGGGTTTCCAAAGTTGGAACGATATTGCGGTTTGGAGGGATTTCAAACTGATATACATCCCGGAAGATATATGGCCGCACTATATTGAGCATATGAAATCTGAGCAATTCACACAACGCTCACAGTCCGGTGCTGGCAACCAGAATCAGCCAATTCATGGCGGGGTGACAACGCACACTGGCAGCTCCGTTCCGTTTGCTGCACATGTGAAATGGATGGTAAGCTTAATTTAAATGAAATATATCCTTAAATTCAGTTGTTGTTAATATATCTTTTTTCATTATAGGCTGTATCTCTTGCACGTGGGCCGAGCCCGATGGAGCTATTTGTGGAGACGCACGTGCGTAGTCAAGACCGTCAGAAAGGGGTGCCAAAGTTCGTTGATAACTGTGCTCAACATTTCGTGGTATGTTTGTTCAACCATTTTATTTTGTAAGATATTATGTTTATTGAATTGAATATGATGATTACTTTTTTTATTTTTATTTTCAGGAGACCTATAATAATTGGTTGAGGGAGAGATACGAGGATGATATTTTGACCCATCCAGAATTCGATTCGGATTTGTGGATGGAGGTTGGCTCGTCAGGTAGACCTGATAAAAATTGAGTTTACGGGCTCTCCAACACTACGGCCGATAACTTGAGGTCGACTCGTAGTGTTTCAACCGTTGGGATCTCTCAATCAATATCGAGCTTCCAATCTAAGGAGTTCAAGGCCTTGCAGCAGCACACAGCTCAGTTCACCGAGAAATACAACCATCTATCATCAGAGTACGCACAACTCAAAGCGTCTCATGCACAACAAAGAGTAGAGTCTAAACAAATCAAAGCGTCTCAAGCACAACAAAAAGCGGAGTATGAACAACAAAGAACGGCTTATGAACAGCTTCGTGAAATGGTTATGAACATGGCAAATAGTGGAACATGTGCGCCTAATTCTTTTTGGCCGTATAACCACCAGCCTCCTCCAGGATCTCCTCCTCTAGCTCCACCTTTATATTAATTTGTAATAAACATTATTTACCTTTAAAACTTCATTTAATATTTTTTTTGAAACATATTCAGTTTGTAATGAATATTATTTAACTTTGTTTTTGTTTAATATAAATTTTATTTGCATAATTGGTTTATATTACAATTAATTTATATAGTTTTATATTATATATCCTAAATAATTTTTTAAAAACAAGTTCAGAAAAAAACAATTACCAAGGATTTTACTGACGGATTCATTCGGTTGATATTTTAAACACTCATCGACTGACTTATAGACGGAATTACTCCGTTGACATTTAATAGTAGCTGTCACACTTACCGATGAATGTACAGACGAATATATTCGATCGGTATTTCATACACTCACCGACAACTTTACCGACGATTAGTGTCCGTCGGTAAATCACAATATCACCGACGGAATACAAATCCGTCGGTATATTTCAAGTGGGAATCTTTTTTTTTTTTTGCTCACAAATTTCGTTTGTAAAACCATCGGCAAATGGTGTTTTTATTTTGCCAACCGATATAGCGACGGAATGTTGAATCACCGACGAAAGAAAACCCGACGTACATAATTCGTTGGTGATGACGTCGGTAAAAAAATCACCGACGAACTTTTAATCACACATAAACAGAATTTGTCAGTCGGTAAAACTGTGAAATCTTGTAGTGACACGCAGCCTCTTCCAGATTGTTACAAGCAAATGGTATGTTGTCACAAAGTTCTAATAACATGTAAAAGATGAAAGCAAATTATATATATCTAAACACATGGAATTCCTTTTCGTCTGTCTTCTTTTTAAAATAATTCTTCGAATGTTGATATCACAACCTGTATATGATAATCATCTAGAAAACCTTGCTACATCTTGTTAGGTTGGTTGCCATTTCATGTAAGGCACCAACCATTGACCATTGACTATTGGTAGCCACCATTGTTGAATGAGCTAGAGTTGGTGGCCACCAATATTGACAACAAAGCAAGAAGAGCCTCCATGAATGCCTATAAATAGAGGCATATGTGAGAGAGCAAAATGAGAGAAAGAAAAGAGCCAAAGATATGAGAAATGTAGGAGAGAGTGGGCTGCCATTGCAGCACTAAAAAGAGAGAAATAGAGTGAGGTTGAGAGTTGTGAAAGAGGGGATGATTCCTCCTCCTCTATTGTTGTAAATCTTGTACTCTCCCTACATAATGCAATGGCTTCTCCCGTGGATGCAGGCGGTTTTGCCGAATCACGTAAATACCGTGTCAGTGTGCTTGGCCCTCCTATGAGCAAATATCAGAATATCACCGGTCGAAATTTCCCAACACATCTGTCTTCAACCAAGACGACTCCAAGATAGACTTACTTTCGATGAATGATAATGATGAGAACCAGGAGATATATACTGAGTCAAATCTTGTCTAACTTCTTTTAATCTATATATAACAGTACATGGGATAATCTTATATTATGAGTCTCTGCCAGTCATAATTGTCTTGTTTTGTGTATTATCAATTATCTCACATCAATTATCTCACATTATGTCATTGTGAATTAATTGTACAGGATGCAGTCTATTCTCTTGTTTTGTGTATTATCAATTATCTCACATCAATTATCTCACATTATGTCATTGTGAATTAATTGTACAGGATGCAGTCTATTCTCTTGTTTTGTGTATTATCAATTATCTCACATCAATTATCTCACATTATGTCATTGTGAATTAATTGTACAGGATGCAGTCTATACTGCAGAGGCAGAACAGCTGCTGGATGCTGGAGAAAGTTCACGTCCTAGAGTAAGAACTATGGAAACAACGCTTTTGAGAATTGGTGAGATTTTCTTAACTGCCTTGTTTACAACTAACTACTTTCTTGTATAGGAAATATCAGGATGGACTTTGCTGATGACAAACTTAATCCTAGAGATTGCATCTGCGGTTTTTGACCAGATGGGTTATGCACAAATTGGCATGGTGTTGGCATTTGTAGCTTTGCTTCTTGCAGCCGTTGAACTCATTCACATTGCTCCAAAGGAAAGAATTAAATGGGCGGGCAAGAGGCAAATATTGCCACTTTTTTTTATCTCCGATCAACTTATACTTCCGCAACTAGAAAGCCTGTTGGCACTATTGTTGAGTATTTTGGATAATTGGCTGGTGCTGTCTGGCAATGTGTTTATTCAACTGTGGAGTATACGTATACTCGTAAGGAGAAAGATAATCCAATTAATATGTGTCTTCTACCTTTCATTTTCTTATTTTGCGTGGTGATTTCCAAACTATTAGTCGACAAGAGTTCTTAGCAATGGTATTTTCTTTGAACTAGAAGAAATTGCTAGTATTGTGTTTCGAGGACTCTTTTTAGTGGGAATGTGTCAAAGCATTTGATTCCTAGATTTTCTTATCGAAGACCTAAACTTGTAATGCAATTAAGACACTATTTTTGAGACAGTGAGCATGAGTAGATTTTCAACTGAAAATGTGCATGCAAGTTGCTACAAGGTTGCGTTTGGTTGGTGTTTAAGGATAGAAACTGGAAATATTGACGTCTTCCAATAACCGAGGAAACGCATGCCTGCTCATTCCGCTGTAGAAACTGGAAATGTTGAACACATCTTACAGCTTCAGAAAACTATTCTCAGGCAGTAGGTTAGGTTGGAATAGAAGTAATAAAACGAGCTAGCTACCTCCAAAATAACAGAAAATTTACATCTACATAATATCTATTTTCCAGCTATAAAATTTCCATGCATATACTAAATCGCATCAATAATATGCTGTTTTTGGGACCTAAAAGTTTTGGAAAATCTATATTTTGAAAAGGAAGAGGGTGCCTCATCTTATATGAGACTCCTTTTTTTTTTTTTTCAATCAAATTTAAAAACCATAGCAATTACACCTATAGATTAATTTTATAATCTGACCTAAAATCGGATTTCTTGACAAATCAAATTGAGAGTTCACCGACGGACTATCTTCAAGGATTTTTTTTCATTATTTATTTTTTTCTTAAAAGGCAAGACTTGTAAATATTTCAAACATGGCAAAAAATTAGCCAAAGCGTTTGTAGTCCAACGGTTAGGATAATTGCCTTCCAAGCAATAGACCCGGGTTCGACTCCCGGCAAACGCATTTTACTTGGCTGCCATAAGGATGCCGGTAGATAGTGGCATGATATCCTATCCTTTTTTAGGTGAGAAAAACTCACTTTACTTGGCGTCACTCATTTTCATCGAAACCCAGTTTCATAGGCTTAGCCAATACTACATCCAAGAAACCCCAGTGTTCCAGCCGGGAGTTCTTTTGGAGTCAACACCGAGGGGGTATCGCCTGAGCCTGAAGTCCTCCTAATAGACAAGGAAGGGCTTTTACTCAACAAGGGGGATGGATCAACGCCAGATAATTCAGAAACGAGCCAGCAGAATGGGACTCCAAAATCACAGGTCTCCTGTGCAAATTGAGTCAGTACCACTTGCGTCTATGAAGCATAAGAGTATTCCAGCATTAGGATCGCTCAGACATGAGCTATAGACATTAATCGTATGTAGTTTAACCTTGAACAAAGACTGAGATCTTCTGATATATGTAAGGAACTTTTCTTGTGAAGTTTCTGCACAAACTTTCAGTTCCGTGGCTGGCAAAAGAAGTCTAAATTTTCGCATAGCCCTGAAAATCTTAAACGGAAACTCATTAGTTCTATGAACTAGGAGTCCATAGCCAAGCTCAGCAATCATGAACACAGCTTAATTTAATTTTATGTTAATAAACACGGAAGGGATTGTACAAGGCATCATTACAAAAACGTCTTCCATTAGCAATTTGCTTCAATTCCATGTCCATGCAATTTGACTATGTAACGGTAATTAGTGAGATACAGAGTTTGGTTTGTAGTACAAAAGTTACCACATATGCTCTTTGATGATCCAAATGGTTTCTTTGAGTCCACAGGTTCAAGAAAACTTAAAAAAAATCTGTCGAGAGTATGCATTTAAGAAGATAACAAAGAAAACCCATTAATGTCAGGAAGCAACATAATCACATATCATAAGAATGAACTGCTAAATAACTATGCAAGGCTATGTATGTATTTATGTAAGTCAACAAACTTTTTACCTTGGAAATCTGTTCTTTTGTAATTTTTGATGGGTGCCAAAGTGAAACATTATTCTACTAGTATGAGTTTCTGGGATTACTGGATGGTGTTTCCATTGATTCTTTGGGAAGATATCATTGTGATTTGTAGCAAATGTTACCTGCTTTAGGGAAATAGACTCCATTGCCATAGCTACAAAGGAGGGGAGGAGGGAGGAGATATTTCATATTTGCAAAAGCTTGCCTGTTTTCAATACGACCAGACGTTTCTGATGCAGGCTGGTGTTATGTGGTTTAACAGAAATGAATCCAACTTAAAACCTAATGTATTATAGCTAAGCAAGTGTTGTCATCCTAAAAATAGAGATATTGGCTGCAAAATCTCCATTGTTTTGTTCACTGTTTGTTTGTTTTTAGGACTTGAATTTAGCATACTTAATTTTAGCCAATGATATCACACCTGCTTACCATTTTTTAGAATTTGAAAAAAATTCACATGCACATTTTTTTTATAAATAAAATTAATAACTTAACCCTACTTCATTTCGACTTTGATACTCTAAAAATTGGTGTAATGGTTCTGAAGAACCCAGTTAGCTATAAGATGTGTCTATTCCAGTTTTATGGTTTATAGAGCTTGGAGGAATTTTAGGGGAAAATATTATTTTTTTAATTATTATTATTATTATTTCCTATTTAGTTTAGGATTTTTTTTTTCATGATTTTTTTTTCTATTTATTTTAGAAAATCAAACATTAAGATTGCTATTTTTTTCTTTTTAGTTTAGGTATCCCTAAAACAACTCAATAATTATTAATTGAGATTTTTTTCAACCTAGAATTATTATAAATAAGGTTGCTTACCTTGTGTATTTTAGAATAATATATTATACTTTTATTCTCAAAAATAAAATTATAAATTAGGGTTTTGTATGATAACTATATTCGATTTCAATTTTATTTTTCTAATTTATTGTTTTATTGTCTTTTTGGTTATATTTTTATCTATATCAATTAATATTAGAATTCAAATATCTTGAAAGTTATTTGCTTGTTGTATGTTGAAATAACCATGACTATAAGAGTTATTAAAATAAAATAAGCTCGTGACAGAGGAAATGTGATACATGTAAAAATAAATTGTAAAATTAACTCATCATTTGGTATAGGTGAGGAGTTCGAGAGATTATGAGTAGAAAAAACAATTTCTTAATTACGATGAATATAATGTTAAAACTGAATGTTTTGATTATCTAATTTCTTTGAGGATTGGAATTAATTATCAAAATTAAAAAAAAATATTAAAAAAGATAATTTAGATATAAAATTCTTGATTTGTGATGTGCATGAGAATTGAACCAAATTAGATATTATTTCAAATGTGATTTTTTATAAAGCACATTGCAATGATACGCCTCACATGTGCTTGAAGGGAGTTGTGGAATTGATGGAGTTAAAATTGGAAACAAATTTTCAAATATTCTTCTAACTCCCTTATTGATTTTATTGTTAGGAAAATTAAATAGTGGTTGTCATAAGGCTGGAGAAAACCATAGCCTTTTTTGTTTTTACTATTGCTTTTCAAATTTTGAAAGAAATTTTATCAACTCTCGTTTCTATCTTATATATTCTGTTTCCATGCCTATATCTCCCTTTTAAAATCCATCTCTCTCGTTTTTCTCTCTTTTTCATAGCCAAAATACTAACATTGCCTTTTCACTAAAACCCTAATCCTCTCTCCCTCTTTTACTCACACCATGAAGAGCCAAGAAGATTTAGAAACCAACGAGCAAGAGATCTCCACGAAGAGAAAGCACAGCAGCAACAACAGCATTAGCCAGCAAGATTTGGAAGGTGAAGATGAAGAAGATTTTGACCTTACACTTTCTTTATCTTTTCGTCCTCCGAGATCCAATAAGAAAACTACCCTGCAAAACATCATTATCAGTAACTCATCAACCATTAGCACAGCATCAAGATATCCCTCAAATTGAAATCCCACCGGATGACCAGATGACACCAAGGCCTCTTGGCCCTCTTCAGCTTTCTCGCAGGCACGCCCCATTCGCTCATATTCTTGTGACTGAACCATTGCTGTACACTGCTAACTAGAAGCAAGTATTAGTAACTACAAGTACCCGCATTTTCATCATTTTGACAAAGCTTCCATCATATAATCTCTTAAAAAAAAATCTTTCAATTTACCTTATCATTCTTCATCTGGTTTTAGATAAAATAAATCCATCAGTAGAACATACATAATCAGATTTTAAGGTGGCGGTAACACACTACTATAATGGTTTTCTCCAGTATCTCATTCATATTAATTTGAAAATATCTTTCGCAAAAGAGTTTACAATAATCAGAGTCAAATTACCATTGTTCATACCCCCTTCTTTCTCCTAGTGTCAATTAAAAGAATAAAAAAAATCACACAATTCTAACAGATTATTCACCGCTCAAATTCATGAATCACATACTTTTTGAACATTAGCACCTAATCTTGTCACAGCAAATATCAACTCTTTTATTTGCATGCGCAATACATGAAAAATAATAATAATAATAATAATAAGTTACTCCAATGAGTCTTGTAAATTTTAGAATCGATGAATACTTATAAAATTATTAAATTTAAAATTTATAGAATTAGTTGAAATACATGCAAGCGAGTCTAAATATCCATATTAAAATAGAAAAAAAAAACAAATTTGAACAGGCTCCTAGCCACAATAAATTGGAAGGGTTAATTTTAATTTTTTTTAAATAAAAATCAAAATAAAATCATTTTACCATATTTTTTTATAAAAAAATTAATAAATTGATAATTAGATTTTAACCAGATCAAAATTTGATCAACCAGGTCAATAAATCAACCCTTAGGTTTTTTTATCGAGTTAGCAAAGTTTCATACTTTTTTTTCCTTCAATCCAGACCGGTTCATACCCTCCATATTGCTGGTCAAGTTGTTGAGCATATGCAAGTTGTAATACAATGATTACAGGCAAGGTTTATAGTACACTTGATAATCTTGCATTTTTCAAGTTCTAAAAAAAGTGGGAAGAGGGTGTGATGAGTGGTTACAATTAAGGATGCTAAATTCAAGTCTTAACATAATGGAGAATAAACAACCATGCAAACCCAAACAGTGCACAAAATAATGGAGATATTATTGCAATCTCTATTTTAGGACGACAACACTTACAATACATTAGGTTTCAAGTTGGATTTAGTTACAAATACAGCAAATCAGCTCTCACTGCAGCAAATCTGTTGTAACCAACTGATCAAACTACACCAGCCTGCATCATTGCTTAGCTCCTCTTGATCCTATATAAACATCTCCACCATTCCCCAACTCTTACATTGCAAATTTAATCTCTATTCTACTCTATCATCGATCATGGCTGTCTTCAGGCCCTTTGTTGTACTTCTTTCCATTTGCATCCTTTCCTTCATTCCCAATGCTTGTCATGGGGCCAGCAAAATGAATGTCATTGATCAATGCTGGAGAATGAATTCAAATTGGCAGAGAAGCCGACAACATCTGGCTACTTGCTCTGTGGGGTTTGCAGGGAAAATGACCAACAATGTTGGGAAAAATGTTATATGGTATAAGGTCACCGATCCTAGTGACGACCCTGTGAATCCCAAACAAGGGACATTAAGATATGGAGCTACCATGATCACAGGAAAAGTCTGGATCACTTTTGAGAAGAACATGGACATTAAACTTGAGAAACCTCTTCTTATTAGCAGCCATACTGCCATTGATGGTCGTGGCGTTGATGTCAGCATTGAAGGCATCGGATGCCTCGTGGTGTACAAGGTACGTTAATTTAATCTCTAGTTGCCATTATTGCTGATTATATAGGCAGTGCATGCTCTGTCTAAAACATCAATGTTGTTTGTCTAGGCAACCGACGTGATCATCCATGGCCTAAAGATTCACCATTGCAAGGCACAGGGACCTAGCTCAGTCATGGGACCGGATGGGAAACTAATGCCGTTAGGTCAGATGGATGGGGATGCCATAAGGCTGGTCACTGCATCTAAGGTTTGGATAGACCACAATACATTATACTCGTGCCAGGATGGTCTTCTTGATGTCACTCGTGGATCTACATTTGTTACTGTTTCTAACAATTGGTTTAGAGACCAAGACAAGGTTATGCTTCTTGGACATGATGATGGGTATTTGAGAGACAAGAACATGAAGGTCACGGTTGCCTTCAATCATTTTGGTCCTAATTGCAACCAAAGAATGCCAAGGTAATTAATAATACCTAATTAAATACCACAATTTCTGGCATTTGGTTAATATTATCTTAGATAGAAGAGACAGAGATGAGGATAGGGACTGACTTTAAAGCTGACTTTAAAGCTGTCCAATGAACGCATTTTCTGTCTGTCTTTCTAACTAAACAAATTTCTGCAGCAGTCTGAATCATGAATCGTGTATTCAAGATTTTACACTGATATATAAATCATTGAAAATAATGCAGGGTTCGCCATGGATATGCACATGTAGCTAACAATCTGTACCTGGGATGGGAACAATATGCAATTGGAGGAAGCATGAATCCTAGCATCAAGAGTGAATCCAACCATTTTATTGCACCTAAACAATCCGGAAAGAAGGAGGTAAAGCTTTCAACTGTCAAATATATATTTGATCATCCACGAATCGATCATTATCTTTCAAATCATGCAAATTAAGGAGACGGGGGTATCTGAATTAAGGACCAGAAAAACTAAGAAAAAAATTCTGATATTTTAACAGGTAACTTGGAGAAATACGGAGATTGGTGCAAAAGGCAAGCCCTGGAACTTCTACTCTGTAGGGGATATGTTTACAAATGGAGCTTCTTTTGTCCAGACCGGCCGCAGAGGTACGGCAAAGCCCAACTACAATAAGGAGCAAACGTTCAAAGTTGGAAGTGCAAACTCTGTACAGTCAATGACTAGCTCAGCAGGTGCTTTAACATGTTCAAGAACATTGACATGCTGATGAGTCATGAGTGATGAGTCTGAGAGTTGCAGATTCAGAGAAAATGCAGATCCTAAAAATGAAAATGTTTTCTTCTCGTATTCCATACACGTACGCTTTATTAATGAGTAATATAAAATTATTTTCAACATTTTATCTAATAATTTAAACTTTTGAGATAATATATTTTTTTTATAACGTCATGTATAACTAAGCTAGTAGGAATTTCAATTTCATGCTTGTTTATTCCATAATCAAATAACTTTAAAGTTTTTGAATTGGCAAAGATGAGGACACATATCAAATGATTTTTAGCCTCTCTTTTTTGAAGGTTCTAACAAGAAATGTGCCAGACATAGCAATCTGACTAACTTGAAAGTAAAACTGTTGGAAGCGAAAAGGTTGTAAATATGCATGCCTGGTGTCCTATTTAATTATATTTCCTTACAGGAAGTTGTTTATGCAACCTTCTAATAACAGGAAACCAAGATAAGAAAGGTTACAATGCTTACTGTTAAGTTTGGCCTGAGATGCTTTCTTGGTTGTTGACTGATGTAGAATTGGATTTGGAGCTTGCTGGTTTCAATGCCGGCCGCATAAACAAACAAACGCAGCCTTATTTTCTTGTTTTTGTACCTTATTATTTTCTTGGTGCATATGGTCTTGATTTTCTTTTGCTTTTCTGCTCCTGTTTCGCCAACACGTTTTTGGCTTCTTTAATCTTGCAAATTGATAGCATATAATTCTGAGTTCATTCATAACAGGAAAACAAAAAACCAAAAAAAACAAGTGATTTTTTGTTTTCTTTTATGTAATACTAGCTCGATTGAGTTGATATGGTTTATAAATCAACTAAAACCTTAGCTCGAATTATTCTTTGGAATCCAATATTTTAGGATTAGCCCACCAAGCCGACACGACTATATTCTAAACGATTGCCAAATATTTGGATCTTCATAACACATTCTTTATTTTTATATATATATATATAGTCTCCATCTTACTTTGCTGACTCGATTGGCAGCTCACCTTTTCTAAAATATGAGGTTGGTATCATGATTAAAGAAAAAAACACACGCCTCTTCTGTCTATCTCTCTCTCTCTGCTATGGCTCCATAGCCGTCGCAATCACATTTCTCATGCCCTTCAATAATCTGTCCACTTGTTATATGTATATACATACAAGGAGAAATCCAAAGGCAGAGCACCAAAACACGAGAAAAAATGTCTTCTCTAAACCTGGAAACCACCTCCGAAACCCCACCCAGAGTACCGTACTCCCTTCAAGAACTTCCTATCACCACCACCGCCAAGAAATTCCCAAAAAAACTCACTTTGGTCCCTCTAATATTCTTAATCTACTTTGAAGTTGCTGGGGGTCCTTATGGAGAAGAACCTGCGGTCCAGGCTGCAGGGACTCTGTATGCCTTACTTGGTTTCTTGATATTTCCATTTATATGGAGTATTCCTGAGGCTCTTATCACCGCTGAGCTCTCCACTGCTTACCCTGGAAATGGAGGTTTTGTCATTTGGGCTGAAAGGGCTTTTGGTCCTTTCTGTGGATCTCTGATGGGTTCTTGGAAATTCTTGAGTGGTGTTATTAATATTGCTGCTTTTCCTGTTCTTTGCATTGATTACATGGAGAAGGCAGTTCCTGCTTTGGAATCAGGTTGGCCTAGAAAAGTTGCTGTCTTGATTTCAACATTGTTGTTATCCTTTTTAAACTATACTGGATTGACTATTGTTGGTTATGCTGCTGTTCTGCTTGGTCTTGTTTCGCTTTCGCCTTTTATAGTTATGTCTTTGATAGCAATCCCTAAGATTCATCCTCATAGGTGGATAAGTTTTGGCCAAAAGGGTGTGAAAAAGGACTGGACTCTGTTCTTTAACACACTTTTTTGGAACTTGAATTTCTGGGACAATGTTAGTACTTTGGCTGGTGAAGTGGATGCACCCCGGAAAACATTTCCTATGGCCTTGCTTGTGGCTGTGATCTTCACTTGTGTGTCTTACTTGATTCCACTTTTCGCGGTGACTGGTGCTGTTTCTGTGGATCAAAGTCTATGGGAATCAGGATTTCATGCCACTGCTGCAGAGATGATTGCAGGGAAGTGGCTAAAGTATTGGATTGAAGTTGGTGCTGTGTTATCTGCTATTGGTTTATATGAGGCTCAATTAAGTAGTAGTGCATACCAGCTTCTTGGTATGGCTGATTTAGGATTTGTTCCAAACTTCTTTGCCATTAGGTCTAAAAGGTTCAACACACCTTGGGTGGGGATATTGCTATCCACTTTGATCACAATTGGTGTCTCATATATGACCTTTACAGATATCATTTCGTCAGCTAATTTCTTATATAGTTTAGGTATGTTGTTAGAGTTTGCATCTTTTATTTGGTTGAGAAAGAAATTGCCAGGGTTGAAAAGGCCTTACAGGATTCCAATGAGGCTTCCAGGTTTGATTGTTATGTGCTTAGTACCATCTGCATTTTTGGTTCTTATAATGGCTATTGCCACCAAGACTGTTTACTTGGTGAGTGGTTTGATGACTGTGGGTGCCATTGGATTTTACTTATTTATGAATTTTTGCAAGACAAAGCGGTGGTTCAAGTTTAGAAGCGGTGAAGTCATTGAAGATTGATGTATAAGAGAAGGTTGTTATCTTGTTGAATTGGTCATGAATGAATTTGGCTTAGTGCTTAAGAAAAAGACATGTAGACAGTCACATGGAATCTGTGGACTCCCGATTCTCAACAACATGGCACTTGGCATTGGAGAATCTGCATAGGATCTAAAGATCCTATTTCTACTAGGGTTGTATGGTTGTAAAGTTAGGAGATCAAGAAATTAGGTTAATGAAAACAGCTTCTGTGCTGTTATTCTCTCCTGCTTTTTCTCTGTTTATTAGCCCTAACCTCCCAGGATTTGTACTCTTTTTTTTGGCTTAAAAGAAATCCGTGATGATTTAACTAACTCAATTTGATGTAGAGTTTGTCAATCTTGGACCCCTAAAAAAGGGATGAATGAGTCTAGAATTGAATGTAGGCATCGATAAGTTTAAATCAAAGAATAAAAGGAAAAAAAAAATCCTTTCTATCTCCCCGAGGAGAGGGAAAAAAGTCAACTATTAGCACAATGATTACCCTCTCTATAAATATAGTGATTTCTAACATCCCAGTCATGCTGAATAAGCTGAAGAATCTATTTTAAAAGAGGGTCCTTAGCCAGAGACTCGGATGCACCCCTAGCTGCATTCACCACCATGGCTGAATCCATCTACAACTTCACCAGTTTGAATCTCCTTGGAACAAAGATAGGACCTACAAGAAGATATTAGCATTAATATTGAAAATCTTCTTAGTTTTACAACAAAGGGAAGGAAATATTGAGTATTCAAACTGGTAACTGCAAGAAGATATTAGCATTAATGTTGAAGATTTTCTGCTTATTTTTTAAACAAAAAGGACATGGTTTAAAAGAAGGTTTCATTTTCTGCTTATGTTGAATAAGTGTTCTTTTGATTTTGATAAAAAGCAGTGGGGCACCTTTGATGCTTACAATATTGTGAGAGACGGTTTCATTTTCTTTGGCACTGTCAAGAACACTAATCAACTGCGTGCGTAGAACGGCATGTATGAGCTGAATTTCTAAATTATACTGAGGAATCTCTATGATTCAATTTCTATTCTTGATTAAACATAATAGGGATGGAGATGACAATGACTTTGCTTAGAATTTGGAGAGCTTGGCCATTAATGCATGGAACTTCACAAAATAATGCAGAAGCAATTGAAAAAGTGGAGGGCCATGACTTGTGTGTTTGCATATCTTTCCCCACAAGATTTTTTTGACGAAGATACATAACAAGGCATGCACCTCTTTCCCAATCTGGCCCCATTTTGCTAGCTGTGAATGATGGAGGTGGATCTTGGATGCAATGTAACTGCAGCCTAGTGTGAACTTACTTCATGATCTTATTGAAGATATTCACAGGGGTGGTTAGAAAGAATTTCCAGTTAAATGAGAGCAACTTGCATCCACTATTAATCTTGGTAATGTGGTATGATTGGGATGATAACTTGTCAAATTTGACACGAACATTGACTTGGAACAAGATTAGGTTCACAACTTTTTAATAATTTTCTTATAATTTTTACACCATATAATTCATATGTTTTAAAAACAAAAGATCAAAGTGTATCCATTATGTGGGACAAGAAAATAAATTATGTGACAGTTTCTTTTATCACAATATCATGTGTCAGTCAAAAATATTTTTAACTCCTTTTCTTATATTTTTTCTCCAACTATTGGTAATTATCTTAAAAATATTTTAAATTTTAAAATTTAAAATATTTTTTCCATGTTCACCTGTCATTCCATATCAACATTGAATTGCCTACATCTCATTTATCAAATTGAATTTTCATGACCGAGGACAAAAAAAAAATGGCCCACCACCCCTCCAAATTCCATTCATAAAGCCTTACAAACCTACCAGTATATTCAAAGCTTTGACACCGAAAGGATGGAACCCCACCTCTCCTCTTCAAACACTCAACATCTCCTGGAACAACAGCCACCCACCACCACCACCACCACCAAAAGCCATGGAAAACTAGCATTAATCCCACTTGTTTTCCTCATCTTCTTTGAGGTATCAGGGGGTCCTTATGGTGAAGAATCAGCTGTGGGAGCTGCTGGGCCTCTTTGGGCCATACTGGGCTTTTTCATATTTCCCTTCATTTGGAGCATCCCCGAGGCCCTTGTCACCGCCGAGCTCGCCACCGCCTTTCCAGGCAACGGTGGTTTTGTCGTCTGGGCCCATCAGGCCTTCGGACCCTTCTGGGGTTCCCTGATGGGTTCCTGGAAGTTCCTTACTGGTGTCCTGAATCTGGCTTCATATCCAGTTCTTTGCATAGACTATCTCAAGTTGGTTTTCCCAGTTTTCTCTTTAGGTGTGCCTCGCTATATTGCCATATTGGTCTCAACTTTGGTGTTGTCGTTTCTAAACTATACAGGTTTGGCAATTGTTGGTTACACTGCTGTTACTTTAGGTATCGTGTCACTTTCACCATTTGTAGTACTGACATTAGTTTCAATCCCCAAGATTGATCCTTCAAGATGGATCAGTTTAGGACAGAAGGGTGTCCAAAAGGATTGGACATTGTTTTTTAATACTTTGTTTTGGAACTTAAATTTTTGGGATAGTGCTAGTACTTTAGCTGGTGAAGTTGAGCAACCTCAAAGGACTTTTCCAATAGCACTTTTATCTGCTGGCGTGCTCACTTGTTTAGGTTACTTAGTACCTCTTTTAGCTGCCACAGGGGCTATACCATTAAGCCAAGAAGATTGGACTGATGGCTATTTTGCTTATGTAGCTGAAATGGTTGCTGGGAAATGGTTGAAATTATGGATGGAAATTGGTGCATGTTTATCTGTTATTGGATTATATGAAGCACAATTGAGTAGTTGTGCATACCAAGTTTTAGGCATGGCTGACTTGGGATTTTTGCCAGAATTTTTTGGTGTGAGATCGAAGTGGTTTAACACACCTTGGGTGGCAATTCTGGTCTCAACAGTAATAGCATTAGCAGGTTGTTATATGGATTTTGCAGACATAATTTCTTCAGTGAATTTCTTGTACAGTTTAGGCATGTTGTTGGAATTTGCATCATTTTTATGGCTGAGGAGGAAAATGCCAAGTATAGACAGGCCATTTAGGGTTCCAATGGGATTGCCTGGCTTGATCATAATGTGCTTGATTCCATCTGTGTTTCTGGTCTATGTTATGGCTGTGGCAACCAGAACTGTGTATATGGTGAGCTTTATTTTGACTGTTCTTGGGATTTTATGGTACTTCTTCATGAAGTTTTGCAAATCAAAGATGTGGCTTCAATTTAACAGCACTGGAGAAAAACTGGAATATGAGGATTAGAGTAGGTTTTTTTCTGTTTATTCTATTGTTCAGGAATTGTTTGCTTGTATTGAAATTGTTTCTGGTCATCTGTGAAGTCATGTATATACTCAACTTCTGATCTTATAAAAAGAAAAATCAAATTTATTTTTGTTCATTTCTTGAATTGATTGATTGTAGTTTACATTTATGAAGTCATGGTTACCGCTTCAGCTCTTCTAGGAATTGAATTCAGAATCATCAGAGAATGAAAGTTGGATTGATTGGTGGCACTTCAAATTCTCTGTGTACAAGATACATCCTCAGGTCTGAACAAGTTGCAACACCTGTAAAACAATAGCTTCATATTCTTATCTTAGCGAAATCGATTGTTTTCTTCCCATCATGTGCCTTTCGGAAGAAATGCTTGACGTAATCCGAGTACAGAACTTCCTTATACACTGCCTTCTCGCCGCTTGCCAGCACTTCATGAAAAGGAGATATTTTGTCTGATGGCCTTGGGTTGATGAATATGGGGATTGAAATCCTGTTCTTACTTCCATCTGTCATCACGCAGTGCTCAACACTCTTGTATCGACCATTGCTCATTATTTGTAGAGCATCACCAACATTGATCACAAGGGAACCGTTAACAGGAGGAACATGAATCCAGTAATCGTCATCTCCTCGGACGTAAAGTCCACCAACGTTATCTTGGAGGAGGGCTGTGAGTGTCGAGACATCAGAGTGGCGGCCAATTCCTACTGTGAGCTCAGGGTTTGGACAAATCGGATAGTAGTTAAGGTTAATCCTTTTAGACCCCATTAAGAGGGATTCTTTTTTCTCATCAATTTCAGTCACTTTCAGATTCTTCATTAACACATCTAGTAGCCTTCTGATAACAATTTCTGATCTCCTCATGTAGTCTAGCACTTGATCCCTGAAAGTAAAACATTTCAGTCCAGTCCAAGCCATCTCTAACTAAATGATTTTGATGCATTTTAATAGATTACGCATGTGCAGCTTGTGAGAAGTTAAAAATTTGTTACTTGCAAACAGAGGGCCACAAAGCAGAAGCCTCGTCCTCAGAGACATAAAAGAGGCTAAGGTAATCTTTCCACTCTAAAGCCCTCTCAGCTTCAGGACTAAAGCTTGTGCCAAACCGCACGTTGTTAGAAGGAGAAAGCTCTTTTAAATACTTCCTCTTTTCCTCTGCTGGTAACCTGAAGAACCGATGAGTTGATTCCTTGACATTCTCAAGTACATGAACGGGAACCCCATGGTTAATAATCTGAAAGAAACCCCATCTTTCTGCAGCCCTACAGACCGCTTCTGCAACTGTTGGGCCGTCCAGTTTTGACATGTCAATGATGGGAATGGATGCTTGGGGCATGATTTTGGCATCACTGATTATTTCCTCGAGGGGTTGGATGTACTGTTTGGGGAGGTTTTTGAGGCCCATTTCTGAGAGTCCCTTTACTCCATTACCTTGTTTCAGGACAAAATCAGTGATGGCATCCGAGGAGCCATTGATTAACACTGCAGTGGTTGGAGCCATTGCTTGAACTTTTGGCTTGGACAATTAGGAGAAAGCTCATGTAGTTTTATAGTAAATGTTTCCCGTTGTTACATTTTAACATTAAATTATATTTAATTAAGTGGAAGTTAATAATTAAGTTAATATTAAATAAGTAACCTTATATTATGTTAATCTAGAAGCTTAATTAATGCATGAGTTACATGAATGTAATCATCCATAAATAAACAAGTATACTGCGGTTGCCATAAAGATTGAAGTTATCAAGATGAAATCAAAAACTACTCTTCCACCCGTCCAGTACTACAGATTAGATTTTGTAATATTTGATTTATCACAATTCTGTATATTTTATTTTCCAGGGAATTGATATAATATTTTGAAAGAAAAATAAAGTTTTGATAGGAAATTACAACAATGCACAGCTTTTTCAAATTTTTATATTTTTATATTTTTAATGATTAAAATAACCTTTCTCTCATGACTGGAAGCAAAAATATATATATATATATATATATATATATATATATATAAATGAAAGCTTGAACAAGACATATAAAGGAATCTAACAAAATTCACTTAACTTGATTCATTCATCATACAAAATACAGCAATTTTAATTAATTGGGTCAACCTACTAATAATCATCAGACTAATTTAGACTAATTTGGATATATTTCAATTAATTTCACAAACTTTAAAAGTCATAACCATATAAACTTTTAATAGTTTTAAAATTGTTAAAACTCAAACTAATTAACTCTAAAATACAAATCTAAAATCTAATTAACTGCGCTACACCCCTTGACATTCACACAAAAATATACTTGTTGCCTGAGAAAGTGGCTTTCCCTTAGATCTCCACACAGCAGCCAGATTGAACAAACCCAGAGAACTCTTCAGGCACATTGATCTTCTCCAATTGCCCATTTTGCCCATCTTTCATTTCCACCATATAGAACCCTTGGGGTGCACCTGGGCTACCCGACCCAGCAACCATGACCTGAGAACCGAACATGATCCCACGTACCGCAACCCGAACCGCCGGGTCCAAGTCAGCCCAACTCATCAATCTCCCATCCTTCCCTGCCCCAACACAAGATCTCGGGCACCGCCCTGGAATCCACGCCTCCTTGACCCGCCTCCATTGACCCGACCTGAATTCGTAGACCTCTGCACTTTGCTCAAATTCCCCTTGATTGTCAGTCATATATCCACTAACCGCCCAAAACTCATCCCCAATCACCACCCCCTCACACTCATCTCTCTCTTGACTCATCTGATTCAACTCGGTCCACTCATCCTTGCTCAAGTCATAAACCCACCCGGTTTTCAATGCGTTCTTATTCTCATCATGCCCACCCACAACATAAATCCGACCCGAATATGCTCCAATAGCAAAAAAGCACCTCTTTGATGGCATCTCCTTCCCTTCCCTCCACTTCCTAGTTGTAAAGTCATACACAAAAACATGACTCACCTGTTCATAACTTACTGGGTCCCATCCACCCATGACCACGAGCTTCCCTTCACAGCTTGCCAATTGACAAAACAAAGGCAACCCGTTTGGATACTTGGGTACCGGGTCAAGCCTCTGCCATGTCTGACTCACAGGATCAAACACAGTGATCCCAAAACTAGGCGAGTTACCTGGTTTCGATCCTTGCGAAACATCAGCCCTGTGAGTAGCTTGAACAAGACAAGCAACCTTATGGGTGTACCCCAGTTTCTTTCTATGGTAATAAAAATCCTTGCTTTCCAGTAATTCACGCCATTGCTTGCAGACTTGGGATGCAACTCTGTGAGCCGTGTAAGGCAACCGAGTCATGCACTCAAGACCAAGTTCTTGAGGCAAACCCGGGATAAGCTCAGTGAACACAGTACTTTCCATTTGTAGGAAGTTTATCGAGCTCTGGAAGATTTCTCTCTCTGTTTGCTGTTTGCACTTTACAGTGTCTGTTAATCAGACCACATCAAATGTCAGTATTTATAGACAGAACAGAAACAATAACTTAGGTAAGAGATAACGACACGTGTCAGTATAACAAAATATATCTCAAAATGGTTAAACCACGAGTTAATTAGGATTTTATGAGGTAATATATTTCTAATATTTTAAATTAGACTAAAAATTTATGAGATTTCATTGTTTTAAAGTTTCAATATTGAATTTATATTAATTAATTAATAATTTAAATTTATTAATTTTTGGATTTATTAAAATTTATTATGATGGAAATAATCATGTTGTTATTAGATTTATATGTATTTTTTATTTTTCAGTATTTTTTCTATATTAAAAAAATTATTTTAAATTTTTTTAGTTTTTCGTATCATTAATTTGTTAATTTATATTTTATATTTTTTTATTTTATTTAGATTACTTATTACAGTATTATTGATTTATTAAATTAAAAGCATGAAATGGAAAATCTAGCTATAAAATGGTGTCTTTTTATTTTAACAGGATTTATTATTTTTTTTAGATTAACTTGGGTGTCCGGGCCAGCTTGCGCGCACCACGACTAATCCCACGGGCCCTAAAGTTAATGACCATGTAAGCCTCCAGTGGCCATCATATGAGCAATCAAGGACTCGAACCTGAGACCACAAAGGGAGCAAACTCCTTGATCCCAGGTCTTTAAAACTTGACCACCATCTAGATGGTTAAGAGGATTTATTATTATTATTATTACTAGTTGCTAAAACGAATGGATAAGATGGAGGTGCCAGCTTATGCGGTACAATTTAGATGGAGGTGCCAGCTTATGCGGTACAATTTGGGTGTGACATGATGAGAAAGAGCAGCACGCGTGTACGTGGACGTCTAAGAATTTACCTGATTAATCGTGTTTGGTGACTAGCTGACACGTGTTGGGTAGTGGATGATTGATTTTCTTATTCTTTGATTGGGACTTGAATTTGATCATTGGATTTTTTTCCTTGAGAGGACGAATCTGAAACCTTTTCAATTGTTGATGGTGTAATGTGTTAATTTTCCAATATTTATTATTAATTATCAAAGTTGAGTAAAAAAGGTAACATGATTCTTTTGCTTTCTTTTTTATTCTCTAATAACCTTCAAGATTTAAGTTAAAATTGTCATTATCCATCGCTGTCCTTCGTTTAATTATTCATATAAATGCTTGGCATGATCTTCACTAATTAAATGTCAAATCTCTATCCTTTCTAGAAACCTAGAAACTAATGGATGTGTTGTTATATATGCATGCCTTATGCTTACCATAGTTATAATAATATTCAATTCAATGCATGGTGGATTTGGTTTGAAAATCGAGTTATGAATCAAGGGTTAATCTTAAATTGATTTAAGTCAACCTCTATTTTTTATAAAAAAAATAATGTTATTTTAGTAAAAAAAAGATTTTTTTCATTAATTAAGTATGAGCAATTAAAGCCTTGAATTAGCAGATCGTTGAGTTTTCTAGCTATAAACAGCTAAGTCGTGGTTTATAAGAAATGATGCATTCTTTGCATTTTTTTTAAATGAGAAAATATTAATTAAGAGGACGATGATGAGTATAACTCAATTCAAGGATAGCTAGAGAGAAGCTGTGATATTTAATTTGTTAATTTGAAGTTTAGCATGTCTGTACGTATGATTAACTCGACTACTCTCT